GCAAAAGATCTTAAATATTTATTTTAAATATTATTAGTCATTTTGTTTTAACTTGTGTAATCCTGGGAAATGTTGATTGGGATGGTGGGGAGTGTTGTTGCATCAGCTCCACTGGCTGCCAGTTTGCTACAGGGCACAATTCAAAGTGCTGGCTTTAGCCTATAAAGCCCTAAATGGTTCCTGCCCAGCTTACCTGTTTGAACGTATCTCTCCTTATGAACCATCTAGGAGTTTAAGATTGTCTGGGGAGACGCTGCTCTCGATCCCGCCTGCATTGCAAGCATGATTGGCGAGGACGAGAGACAGGGCCTTCTCAGTGATGGCGCCACCAGCTATGGAACTCCCTCCCCAGGGATATTAGATTGTTTCTTCTTCCTCCTGACTTTCCAAAAAAAGGTAAAAACGTGGCTCTTTGAGCAAGCTTTTGAGAATGCAGCGGAATAGATAACATGAAACTATGAATGGTGACCATGGCATGGCCAGATGATGTTACTGGAAAACGATTTTAACAAGATGACATCTGTGACTACATGTTTTAATGGTTTATATATATGTTTTTATATTGTGATGTTGACTGTATTGTCGAAGGCTTTCATGGCTGGAATCACTGGGTTGTTGTAGGTTTTTTCGGGCTATATGGCCATGTTCTAGAGGCATTCTCTCCTGACGTTTTGCCTGCATCTATGGCAAGCATCCTCAGAGGTAGTGAGGATGCTTGCCATAGATGCAGGCAAAACGTCAGGAGAGAATGCCTCTAGAACATGGCCATATAGCCCGAAAAAACCTACAACAAGCCAGTTATGTTGACTGTTTTTAAGCACACTTTCATGAATACATGGCATCGAATTGTGCTAATCTGTAACTCGCCTTGAGTCGCCGTATGGTTGAGAAAGACGGGCTATAAATGCCATAAATAAAAAAATAAATAAATAATCTGCCAGGCCTCATCAAACAAGCAATCCATATGATGCAGCCATAGCTTTAAAAATGCTATTAAATGGCTCTGACAGCATCTTTCCACCAAGAGAATCTAAAAAGGGCAGGTGCGACTGCTTTGCACGTGAGAGACAGAAAAGGAGGTGCTTTGCAACTTTTCTTGCAGCAATTGGATGCTTAGCACGCACACACTCCTGTACCTGCCACTTACAAAGACGACAGATTTCAAAACACATTGCCGAAAAAAAACAAAACAAACCCAGACATCTTGGGTGAATTATGAAGTTTTTCCATTCTATCTTTTGTCTTCTAGGTAAGAAAAATTATTTTACTTCTCTCTCTTTTCTTTATTTCCTCTTTGGTGTTAGTAATATATCATTACAATTCTGGATACCGTGGTTTGAAATTATGCTTGGACATGAAAATCAACTGCGAGTGCATTTACACTGTAGAATTACTGCGGTTTGATATCACTTAGATTGCAATGGATTAATGCTATGGAATCATATGAAACTACTATATTATTGAGTTTTTGGATTCAGATGATCTGTTTTGATCAGGATTATATGGCAATGTAGACCCATATACCCAAGTTCAAAACAGATAATTTGGATTCGGAAACTGGATCATATGGCAGTGTAGATCCAGCCTCAACATTGAGCCAACAAGGTGATGTGGCGGCAAAAAAAGCCAATGGGATTTTGGCCTGCATCAGTAGGAGCAAAGTGTCTAGATCTAGGGAAGTAATGCTATCCCTCTATTCCGCTTTGGTTAGACCACACCTGGAATATTGTGTCCAATTCTGGGCACCACAATTCAAGAGAGATATTGACAAGCTGGAATGTGTCTAGAGGAGGATGATTAAAATGATCAAGGGTCTGGAGAACAAGCCCTATGAGGAGCGGCTTAAAGAGCTGGGCATGTTTAGCCTGAAGACGAGAAGGCTGAGAGGAGATATGATAGCCATGTATAAATATGTGAGAGGAAGCCACAGGGAGGAGGGAGCTTCCCTGGAGACTAGGACGCAATGGAACAATGGCTTCAAACTACAAGAAAGGAGATTCCATCTGAACATGATGATTCATCAAATTAGGGATACAGCTATGGAAGTTCATTGTGGTACAATGCATTTATGGATATTGCTGCCACAAAACAGAGTGATGGCTTCCAAGGAGATCCACGGAGGTTCATGGAGGATAAAAAACCATTTTGGTAGAATAGCAATCAATGCACTCAAATGAGATTTGGGAGATCTCGTTCTAGCCCCTCACTGAGGCCCCTTCCACACAACTGAATAAAACCCCATATTAACTGCTTTGAACTGGAATATATAGTAGTGTGGACTCAGATAATCCAGTTCAAAGCAGATATTGAGTTATATTGCTATCTGCATATTTATTTTGCCTATGGATTTTGCCTATGGATTTAGAAGGTTTTACTAATCCACTTATCAGTTCCTTATCCTCTTTACTTTTGGTCAATTATGTTGGAAGAATGACATCCAGAATACCTCTGCTACCATCCTGGGATTTGTACCCCCCCCCCCCCAAAACCAGTAACTCTTTCAATATTTCATCACTTGGCACAAGTGGAATTCATAAATATATTTTTATTTAACAGTATAAGAATGGCTTTCCCAATTGTATTTGCTTATGAAGTGTAGTACAAAGTGGGTTGTAGGCTTCACCCTCAGCCTTAGCTGTTCCAGAAGTTTGCAAATCAGCTTTCTGCTTGTCTTATTCCTCATTTACTTTCCCCATAGTTACTCAAAAATTGGTCACATCCCAAGTTTTCCAGCTTCCATTGCAACTTGACATTACAGAAGGACAGAAGATGCTGATCTCCTGCCACCAGAATGCTACCAGTCACAACACAATGTCTTGGTATAAGCAGGTCCTGGAGGGTCAAAGAGTTTGGTCCACATTAGGGTCTGGGTACACTGGATTGACACCGTTTGGAGACTTCCAAATAGAAGTGGATCCAAAGTTACGCTCCACCAACCTGAGCAAAGAAAAAGCAACGTGGAGTGATGGTGGCGTCTACTACTGCGCCGTGAGAGACACAGTGAGAGGAAATGAGGAGCAGGCTTCATAGAAACCACACCATGGGTTTTCTTTCACCTTCGTTTCCTTTGTTACATTTTAGCATAGCTGGTAAATCATCAGCAATTATAAGATCTATCAAACAAAAGGTTGCACGTTCGAAGCCTCGGGTTCGTGTGAGTTGCCAACTGTCAGCCTAGCTCATTGTTTACCTAAGCAATTTGAAAACAGCTTTAGCTGTGATTAGAGAAATTAGGTACTGCTAAAAGTGGGGGAAGTGTTTTATGACACCATAAAGAAAGAAGATCAGAAATGCTGGGTGACCAAAAGGAAGGAGGAAATCCTGGCGGTTCTTTGTCATAGAGAACAGAGCAACAGCTCCCCCTGGACTCAAGCCCAACCTTCCATGGCACCTCCTTCTGTTCTGTCTGTCTGTGTATTGTCTATACAAAGAGGCATTGAATGTTTGTTGTGTATGTGTACTGTGATCCGCCCCGAGTCCCCTTCAGGGTGAGAAGGGCAGAATACAAATAAAGTGTTGTTGTTGTTGCTGTTCCTTTTACTTTGCTGTGGGCACATCGACTTGGGTTTACAAGTTCTTATAAATGTAATTTTCTAATCGAGTCTATTATAAAAACATGGAAAAAGTTTATTAAAGGGCAAAAACTCATCAATTCTGAATCCATACAATTTAGTTTGTGGCAGATACAAAAACAAAGTTTCTAGAGTATAACAGTTACTTTCAAGTATGTACCACACAATCAAACAGGAAATAACACTTTCAAACCAGGAACAGAAAAATTTTCAAATTTCGTCACATAGTGTAATTGGAGCCTCCAAACTTTAAACCAGTGAAAGGGAACTTTGGATCCTACTTATGTATTCGACTTCAGCTATCAGAAGCCCAAGACAACATGGCTGATATGGTAAAGGATTCTGAAGACTGCAGTCTAAAACACTGGCCCCATCTACACTGCCAAATAATCCAGTTTCTGATCCCAGATTATCTTATTTGGACTGCATGACATAGCAGTAGACTCATATAATTCAGTTCAAAGCAGATCACCTGGGATCAGATACTGGATTATATGGCGGTGTAGATCCAGCCACTGCTTCTCACATTGGGTTGGATGTAGGATAATGCTCCCTTTGACAGGCCATATAGGAAGACTGCTCCAGAAAATCTCCAGAATGGCTATATATAGGTTTTCCTCTTGACATTAAGTCTAGTCATGTCTGACTGGTGGGTGGTGCTCATCTCAATTTCTAAGCCAAAGAGATTGCGTTGTCTGTCTCCAAGGTCATGTGGCTGGTATGACTACATGGAGCACCGTCTATTGATCTACTCACATTTGCATGTTTTTGAACTGCTAGGCTGGCCAGAGCTGGGGCTGACAGCAGGAGCTCACCTTGCTCCCCGGATTCGAACTGCCAACCTTTCGGTCAGCAAGTCCAGCACCTTAGCAATTTAAACCACTGTGCCACCAGGAGTCTTCCCAGTGGATATCCCTCTAAAAGTCTCAATCCATATTTAGAAATTCACCACCCCTATGTCAAATTCAAGGACCACGGACTGAGTCCAGCCTGCCATATCATTTTATGTGGCTCTCCATATGCAGAGTATCATTAGACATCATGACTAGAGCTGATGGGAGTTGTGATACAGTAACACCTGGAAGGCTTGTTCTTTTTAGTCTGGATAATGGGGTTTGGGTTTACATACAAAGTTTGTGAATATGATGCCTGACTTTAAAATGTCCTGTAATCTTTTCCCAACATCAGAACCACAAGTGCTGTTGGGCTGCAATTCCCATTATCCTCAGAACTGCATGGTGGATAACCAAAAGTGATGGGAGTTGTCATTCAGTAACATCCTGGGACCCAAATTGGCTAAAGAGCACTGCCCACTATATATATAAAATTATAGTTTTCCATCTGTATCCATGGACTTGCCATCCATGGATACAATGACCCTTTGAAAGCAACCATAAAGCTGATGGAAATGAGTTTGACACTCGTGCCCTAGAGGCTTTTACCTCCTGAATCAAACTTTCGGCTTCGCAACTTGTTGAGAGCATTTAGCATGTCTTCATTCCTTAAGGTGTAGATGACGGGGTTGAGCAGTGGAGTGACCGCCGTGAAGAAAATGGAAACCACCTTATCTGCAGGCAGACTCCTAGCAGGTCTGAGGTAGATGAAAATACAGTGTCCCAAGAAAAATGTGACTACCGTCAGATGTGCAGCACAAGTGGACAGCGCCTTCCGACGGCCTTCAGAAAAGCGGTTCCTCAAGGAGATGAGGATGACCACATAGGACACTACCAGAACTACAAAGCTGACCACCGAGATAACCCCAGAGTTGGAGACAATGAGGACTTCGAAGACGTAGGTGTTGGCACAAGCCAGCTTGATGACCAGAGGTATATCGCAGAAGAAGTTGTCAATGATGTTGGGTCCACAGTAGGGAACCATGAGCGTCAATGCTGTCAGGGCAATGGAGTGGAGTAGGCCACCCAACCACATGGCCACTGCTAACTGGAGACAGACCCGACGGCTCATAATGGTGGTGTAATGGAGGGGGTGGCATATAGCTGCATACCGATCGTAGGCCATGATGGTGAGGAGAAAGATCTCTGTACAGGCAAAGAGGTGGAGGAAGAACATCTGGGCAATGCATTCTCCAAAGGAGATGGTCTTTGTCTCCTCCAAGAAGCCAGCTAGCATCTTGGGAACGACCACCGAAGAATGGCAGACATCAATGAAGGAGAGGTTGCTAAGGAAGAAGTACATTGGGGTGTGGAGGTTATGGTCGCAGATGATTGTGATCACAATAAGGATGTTACCGATGAGGATGAAGGCATAGATGGTGGCAAAAAATCCGAAGAGCGCCAATTCAGTGGTGTGGTCTGTGGTCAGGCCTGAAAGGATGAATGCCTTCACCATTGTGATGTTCTCCATCCCCGTGAAAATTAAAGTTAAAAGAACAGGCTAAAATTGTTATAAGAGTTCATAGACTTCTGTGGATTAAAAAAAAAAAAAAAGGAATCCAATCCAAATGCAAAGAAAGGAGTGTGGATTGAGTTCTGGTAGAGGAGAAAAACAGACATTATAGTTGGGAAAATTATAAATTCACAAACTACCCTGATTTGGCAGGGACAGTTTATTTATTTATTTACTATATTTGTATACCGTCCTTCTCAGCCCTTAGGGGATTGGGCGGTTTACAATGGAAACGATTCAATGCCCAAAAACACCATAGAACATTTAAAAACATTAACACATAATATAAAACCATAACAAGAATACTAAATGTATACATCATTTGCTTCTCCTAATTCATCCTTTGTTGTTCCACTTTTCAGCTGTTTTTAAAATGTCCTAATTTCTCTTTCCTCCTCTTAGAGTGCATAAACACTGTCAAATCAATGCAGTTCGATGTCACTTTGACTGCCATGGCTCAAGGCTATGTAGTCCTGGGATTTGTAGTTTTATACAACCTTTAGCCTTCTCTGCCAAAGAGTGCTGGTTCCTCACCAAACTATAGTATAGATTGTTGGAGCTGGCAAGGAATTAGCGTGTGTATGAATTGTAAAATAAGATGAATGAAGCTGATTGGTCAGGCAATGCCCGGGGAGATGGCTGGGCCTGGGACTTTTGGATACAGTTACATTTTTGTTCAGGCTTGAGCTATGCAAGTGCAAAGAGAGAAGAAAAGAGAAGCAGAGAGACAGATTTTGGAATGTGCTCTAGCTTCATGAACTGCTGAAGGAATTTATCCAAATGGACAAAGAAAGACTATTTAAAACCTCTCATTAAAAAGGACATTATATGTGTTGATGCAACTGATCACATTGTACGTATGTTGTTCTGAACTACGAAGAGTAAACTACTTATTCCTTACTGTTCACCTGTGTGGCACATTTTCTTTCTCTGGTAAGGCGGTGTGGGATGATCGGACGGGAAGTACACCTGGTTTAATTTACATTACGCCACATAGATTACATGATTCCATAACCTTGAGCCATAGCAGTTAAAGTGGTGCCCAACTTCATCAATTCAACAGTGTAGAAGATGCCCCTTACTTTCACCCTGTATCCCAAACGTATTTCCAAGTGTTGCAAACTAGAAAAGTAGTTTGCACTCAGTTAATGCTGAAGGGACAATTTTTTGCCCTTTTCATTAGTCTCAGGGAAAAAGCAAACTGAAACAGTCTTTCCTAGCTTGTGTAATAAACTTTCCCACCTTGACTCCAAACTATTCCAAAAGGGTCCACATGTGTGACTGAGATAATAACGTATTTGCCTTCTGAGGGTTCAATGTACTCTGATTTTATTTCATGCACGGAATGATTAAAAATGTACATTGCACAATATACCGTAAATGCAAAACACTTGTGGCCCCAAGCATTTCAATTTAGGGATACTTGAACTGTAGTACATTTTGCAATGTTGTACTGAAGATAAAGCAAAAGTATACATGGGATTCTGTGATTTTATGCTTCTTTAAAAAAAAAAAATCTCCAAGCCACCCGAGGAGGAAAGGTCTGGCAGAAGAAGAATGCATACCTCCCTGTATTACATGACAGTTCAATATCTTCCTCACCACCATGCTGTTTTTTTTGCCCTGAGATAGAAAAGTTTGTAGGACTCATAAAGGCAAAGGAGATTCAACCTGAACATGATGAAGAACTTCCTAACTGTGAGCGCTGCTCAGCAGTGGAACTCTTTGCCCCGAAGTGTGAGGCTTCTTCTTTGGAGGCTTTGAAACAGAGGCTGGATGGCCATCTGTCAGGGGTGCTTTGAATGTGAATTTCCTGCTTCTTGTCAAAACGGGGCTGGACTGAATGGCCCATGAGGTCTCTTCCAACTCTGTGATTCTATGAAAAGCAATTTGGAGGGGGGTGATATTTAAGCCATGGCTGCCTACATTCCTCCAATATTTTGAAGAACAAGATATTGATGTTGACCCATTTCACTGAAAGACTATTAACTGAATCCTATTTGGACTAGCGACTGCATTTATTCAATGGTGATTATACTACAATTCAAGAAGGATATTGACAAGCTGAAAGGTATCCAGAAGATGGTGACCAAAATGGTCAAAAGTCTGGAAGCCATGAATCCTGACAGCTTAGGGAGCTGTGTATGTTTATCCTGAAGAAGACAGGATAAAGTTGGTAGATGATAACCATGTTTACATATTTTAAAGGATGTCATATTGGAGATGGAGCTAGCTCAGGCATGGGCAAACTTGGGCCCTCCAGGTGTTTTGGACTTTGGTTCCCACAATTCCTAACAGCCTCAGGCCCTTTCCTTTCCCCCCTCAGCCGCTTAAGCTGAGGGGGAAAAGGACAATAACACATGACTTTCCAAATGAATTATTCAATAGGATAATTTGAAAATGACTTATGACAGTACTATAACTTAATTACTAAGGTGATTGACAAATACAACTTAAAAATAAAATCCCCATGATTTCCAAACTTCCATTTCCCAACTAAATAAAAAAAATCACTTACATTTTCTTCTTGGTGTTCAGAATATGTGGGTCAGGGTTGTCTCTGTATAAATGCTTTCACTTGTTGAAAGCTGGTTTCAAAAACTAGACAGTTTAGTTTGCAGAAAGTCAATCAAACACTTCTATGTTGACGATCTTCAAAGGTGGTTGCATTCATTCCAGGTTGGATGAATGAGAACATCAAGCAAATCCTTGAATGCTGTTGACAAATTTAAAATCTTAGATCTCAAATATTTCCACTAACACAAGGACAAATTACTGTTCAATTTATTTTTTTTCCTTTTAGGAAAATTTAGGATAGAATAAGTTTAACAAAGTGCTCTATAGGAAGATAAGGTGATCTAAGATATTATTGCTGAAATAAACAAACTGAAGAATAGGTCGTCCAGAATGCTGAAAACAGAGCTCCTACATTTTGCTCCATCCGTAGGTTCTGCCTGTTAGCTTTAGAAATTTGAGTTTGGAAAAAAATGTCTCATATATATCTTCTGTTAACAGTCATAAATCATACATAAGGTTGTATGATGTCAAATAGGTGCTTTGAGAACTGCAACTGAAATAGCTCCAGCCAAAGCTCATGGGAAGCTCCGAAGTTTTAGAAACTCCAAAAGTTAAGTTGTTTAACAAGCCCTCTTAGGCTTTGAGGCATTGTGTTCCAATAGTTTCCCCCTCCCTTTGATATCCTTCACATGCAGAAGCTGGAAATTCATTCTCTGTGGCTCCCATTAGCCTAGATCTAGAGATGTGGTCATTAACCATATAATAATAATAATAATAATAATAATAATAATAACAACAACAACTTGTGTTGTGCTGTTGCACGCTGGGCCTGTGCATAAGACTGTAGACAGGACATAAATTCCGTGTGCCCAACAGGACACCGGGGCTGCCTCAGATTAAAGGCCCTTGGATTTCCTTAAAACAGAGTCTTTAGATTGCTTAAAGGTTCAACAAAGTTCTTTATTATTGAAAACAAACAGGTACTTTAAGGCTTTCTTAATAGTCTATTGCCTTTCTCAATCTTGTCCACAGGGAACAGGCACTATCTTCATAAACTGTATGGGGAAACCCTTAACTTCTAATCTGGGCAGTCTGTCTTTTGGCATGCCTCTGTTGGCATGGTGCCCCTGCACCCGGTACCAACTGCTTCTGGCTTCTGTGAGTGACCCTTACCAAGCAGAGCTTTGTAGACTTCCAGAAGAAAAGGGATTTCAGGTTTCTGTGATGGCTGGCTGAAGTGCTGTGGGACCGGATTCCCTCAACAAAGGAGCTGTAAGGCTGTATATCTCCTGGCCAAGCCGTAGAGCCTTTTCTCCCCGGCCAAGCTGTAGAACCTTTTCTTCCCGGCCAAGCTGTAGAAGACGAAGCTTTCTACAGGAGCTCTTGGTTTTATGTCCTGTATAAAAGGCTTCTCTGTGTGGACTGACCCAAAATGGCTCCTATTCCCTCCGAAACCCAAAAAGGGAGCGGGACCAGGGAACCTGATAATTGACAGGTGGCTTGCCCTATGATTGCAGCCAAAAGAAGCCACCTATCTGCAGAGTCCCTGAAACTTAGGACTATAACCAACATTCAATGCAAAGCAAACAAAATTGGAGCTCCTGGTACGGCTGTACCTGCACATGTGTCACAAATACCATCTGCCTGCGACAAAAAACTGGTGGGATCACAAGCCAGAAAAAGTTACAGAAAATGAACACAGCCAAACTCCTCTGGGACTTCTGGATTCAGACAGAGTTTTGGAGCATAATACTTCTGACCTCACAATCATGTTAAAAAACAAAGTATGGATTGTTGATGTCGCAATCCCAGGTGACAGCAGGATTGCAGAGAAACAACTGGAAAAGCTGACACGATATGAGGATTTAAAGATCGAACTGCAAAGACTCTGGCACAAACCAGTAAAGGTGGTCCCAGTGGTGATTGGCACACTGGGTGCAGTGCCAAAAGACCTTGGCCTGCACTTAAACACTATCGGTGCTGACAAAATTACCATCTGACAGCTGCAGAAGGCCACCTTTCTGGGATTTGCATGCATTATTTGCCTATACATCACACAGTCCTAGACACTTGGGAAATGTCCAACGTGTGATCCAATACAACAGCCAGCAGAGTGTTTGCTGTGACCCGTCTTGTTGTGTTTCAAATAATAATAATAATAATAATAATAATAATAATAATAATAATAATAATAATGTCACAAATACAATCTACCTGTGACAAAGAACTGGTGGGATCATAAGCTTGAAAAGTTACAGAAAATGAAGACGTCACACTACTCTGGGACTTCCAAATTCAGATTGACAGGATTATGGAGAACAATATGCCTGACCTCATGATTGTGGGGAAAAAGTATGGACCGTCGATTTTGCAATACCAGGTGACAGCAGAATTGATGAGAAGCAACTGGAAAAGCTTACGTGATATGAAAATTTAAAAGT